GGTTTATCGTGCCGCTACTTAGGTTTGATTTGAGCAAAGCAGCATTCGTTCTCGTCACCGACCAAGCGTATCCATCTTCAGGTCGCGGTTGGAGACGGACTCGTTCGGGAGCGACGACGAGGTGAAGTCGGTTATCTAGGTGTATTAGCTTGTGTGGGCAGCAGAAGGGGTTGGTAAATACATATATGAGCCGCTAAGGCTTCTCGACATTGTTTTCTCAGTTGGAAGCGTTTTTGGTTGCTGCTTTTAGACATTAAAGTGTACTTTGGTCATTCAAAGGATTAAGGGAAAGATCCGCGGGATTTTATAAAACAATAAAAAAAAGGAAATAACACTTGCACTAGATACCAAGTTAATGTAGGATCGATGATACGTTCTTTGCTCAGGTAGAAAGTGGTGCCCATGGGTAGGGGTGGCCCACTTTCCGAGTGTGGATTTTCATTGGATGAGATGCATCTTGTGATGATTTCAGCGTTGAGAATCAGTTGAAAGTTCCGTAAACCTTTCACTCCCCGAGCCCTCATGTATAGTGCTGGGTGCGTGAGTCGCGCACAAATACTACGACCCTCAATTTATGCGTGAAATACCTTCAATTATAACATCTTGTTGGCAAAACACAGGACTCTGTTTGGTAGGGCTCACGATGCTGCGCATTTCTGCCCTTCGATATGAGCTGTGAAAGCCGGAATGGATTGATAGAAGGTCAAAAAAATGATGAATTGAGCAGAGAGTCAGGCTTGATCGGCTATTCCACTGAGATTTCATTTCGTCTAGAAAATATATAAAAGGGGTCAAGTCAAGCCACCTGAATGTCCCATTCGGCACGCGATCATCCTGATAGAAATGGCCCCAAGAACTCGCCGGTCCCTCTGTCCAAAACTAGCGACCTATCGCGACATGGTGCAACTGCAGTGTGACTTGTCCAAGCGTCCACCCACAAAGATGACCACTCGCCATGGTACCTATGCCGGTCGCAACGTTTGCACGGACTCGCCGAGCTTGAAATCTTCGCGAGCAAAGGCAATGCGAACGAGCGTCCATTGTCGATATCATGTTCCACCTGTCTCACTACTTCCACGGTCGTCTGGCAGGTTCCCAAGGAAAGGCAGCCACAAGAACACGCGCAAGACACGAGCGATTTCTGAGCAAGAGGCAACACGACTGGATTGGATGCGACGACTTCGACCTAAGCCCCATAGGCGTTACTAGGTCGGACAATTTCAAGTCGACCATGGAGGCTCAGCAGATGGCATATCGCAATATCTACTCTCTTCCTTGTATCGTTGAATAGATGGAAGTATTTCACAGGCAACTAGGTATGAGAATGCGGATTTCCAAAGTTCGAAAAGACACGGTCTAGATATTGAGTCTCTACATAGAAGATAGGATGTTTTGAGAAGCAATGTAAGGTTCTGATATACGCAAAACGGCCAGTATGTAACAGGATTGTTTCTCTGCTTTTGCAGTCAATGCTTTATAAAAAAGCACATCTACGCATCTCTTGTAGGACATGAGAACGGTAGGGTATTGGGAACTGGAAAATTCTGGAATCTAGTAACAGAGGTTGGTTGCGATTTGGTAGCGGCTTAATTGCAGGATATATGTACTATGTCTAACGACTTTTGAAATATTGAAAGGTGGATTGAGAACGGCCTAAACCAAAGCCTTCCCCCAATCCAAGATACTAGAACTGCGCGCATGTATCTCCAACTTGATTAAGAGCATTTTATGCTACATGTAATCAGTAGACTTGGACCAGTTGGCACCCTAGAGTAGCCTCCGAGCTCACGAACAACTAAATTATATTTTCTAACTAATGACCAGAGGGAACTTTCAGACAATCTGTCGCGTCTCCGTTGTAAACGTTTTCTACTGTTATAGACAGTACAGATTCTAGAGTTTCTTTTCACATGCCATCCACGTATAGTAGGGGGTTTGGAGGCACCCAAGGGTACATTTATGCGGCCCACGCGGCTGACTGCAAGGAAGAAGTCGAGATGGCGATGATGAAAAGCTCGATCTCTTGAGTGTCAGTACTGTTGACATACTGTGGGAAATTGTAATTACCTCGAGTGCAATCATCCATGATTTGCCTAGCGTACCTATGATGGCAACCACAAGTAAAAGAAGTGCCATTACAGAGAGATAGCATGAGATGTACTGCAGCTTAGGTCTGGCTAAGGTTGAATGTCGAACCATCAACCAGAACCATGCAGCTACCCCCACATAGTCCACGAAGAGAACAAAGAGGCCACCCGGATGGACGGAGCTCAGGAGGAAGGTTCCAGCAAGTGACAATGCTACCTTAGCCAGTGCGGAAAGAACGGCGAAAGTAGGGTACACGATGCGTAGAAATCGGGGTGTGAATATGTTTTCACGCTGTTGAAAAATTACATGAAGATACTGTGGTCCGTTAGCCGATAGTAAGCCTCACTCATTCCATGCAATGAAGACCTACCGCTTGTAGCGGTGGGAATAACGGGGTAACCCAAAAGAGAACTTGGCTCCATCTTGGAAATCTTTTACTCCAGAACAGCCCCGTAAGAATAGCAAAGGGAACACATGAGAAGGCACACAAACTCAAGTCGAATTTGTGCCACCGCCACTTGGATGGAATACAGTACAAAAGAGACAGCCTTCCAACGTTCAGAAGTAGAAGAATAGTCACTAAAACAGATTTGATAATGTCTTCTGAAATCATGGCTATAATTTCTTAGCAGCAGACACATCTTGGGATTAGAGATGGAGGTTTATATAGCCAAACCAACAATTGCCTAGTCATGAATGTATAGATCCCAGGAGCTCTTCATCAGGTTCCAAAGTCTTCTCGACGGATCGCATACTCAACTTTCTACCTTTATCTCAACTTTATGGCGTTGCGGAAGAACTGAGGTCTTCAATTAATGGTTCGCGGTAACATTTTGCTTTCCTTCCGCGCTCGAGAGCAAGTCCCGCTTGAAAGCCTGGAACATATTGCTGAGCCAATTAGTATCGCACCTGCTCATTCTCGCCCTTGTTAATATGAGATCACCTGCATGGGAAAAGCGATAAAAAGTAATGGACGTTCACATTCCACTTTACTAGAAACGGGTGCAGTCGATCATCGCTTCAAAATGGCCAATTGCAAGTGCATTTCGCCTTTTCAATGTCGACGGAATGCGATACGGTGGTGAATATATACAGGAATCTTACAAATCACGAGATCTGACCATATCGCTGGCTGCCCACGTAATTCCTTTGGGCCTGTCATCGGAACAGTAGAAACTTGGGCGTTGCGTAAAAGTGCTTGGAAATCTCGCAAGCTTGCATGGAACAACGCTCTATTTTTGGGAAGGTTTGGTAATCGTTATGTACGTATTCCCTTTTTGAAAACGACTCAAACACCGATACAGAAAGAAAGTAGATCCTAGATATTAGCTGTAGTAGCTTATTGGTATGCATTTTACCTGTCACGACTGAGTTCCTGTTGCCATGGAATCATGTCTCTTGGCTACACGTGTAATTTAGATCATGGTATGCCAGAAATAGTTTTCGATTGGAATTAGAACAACAAAGATATTTGTACTTACAGTAACCTTAGAGGGTGTTGGTATCACCAGCTAGGTACTGTGTACACAGTTAAGTGGACAGTGGTTATGCTTCCAAAGCAAAAGTCAATTTGATTCATGTAAAATAGATGTGTGTTCCAGGTCGTGGTCCAATGCCCCTGAATCCATACGGCGGGAGCCGCAGCTTAGCAAGATTACGTACAAAGTGTCTTTGCTTATTCTGACGGGAGGATATGTCCCGACAGAACCTAAAAGCCCAAGTTCCTAAAGCAGAGCTTTATTTAGTGATACGTACAGATCTCATGGGTTCCTAGATGCTACAGTTAGGGCTTTAACTAAACTTTGATAATAATAAACTTCAATCGAGAATCCGCCAGGGTTGATTCTGTGAAGGCTCCACCACCGCTCTACGTGGCAAACAGAATAAAAAGTGGGGATAAGAGGGCGAATCCCGACGTTTGGGGTTGTCTTTCGCTTATCGCTAGATTAAGAAGTCTTAATTAACCAGGGAAAGACACTTTTACTAGCAGAAGCTTCTATCAACACTAGGGAAAGACTCAATAGCGAATATATTCAGTCTACCCCGCATCTCTTCAAATCCTTCATTAAATGATTTACCGTAAAATAATACATATATGTATACATATACATACGTATATAAATAAAATAGAGGTACTTGGCCAGAGTTGTGAAAGCTTGAGCAAATAAAGACATACTCATGTCAGACGGCCATTCAACAAATGAGGATAATCCCCAGAACACATTCCATATTCTTTGATGAGGCTGCTCCGAAGCGGGTACTCTATTAGGCAGCCGTCGAAGTTTATTAAGAGGGATAATAGCGATAGGAAGGTGCCAGTTTGGCTTACCGAAATTGTAAGGGTGCAGGTCCGTGTATCAGGTATAGTAGGAGTTTCGAAAAAATTGGTGAATCTTGCAGGGGACCGGCCGTTGTCCGTTAGGCCGTGTTATCCGTTCCGTCATAGATTTCGTTACCACGGAATTGTACTCTCTTTCGTAAGCGGCGCGGAAGCGATATGAGGTTGTAACGGGAATGGCATGTATAGCTATGGAAATACACTGGATGCCAATGAGAGCAACGAATCAAAAAGGGGTCAAGCCATGTCATCGACACCATTAGGTCTGTTCGATGGAGATATCATGTACTTTCCGTCAGGGTGTCCATCGATTTTATTGGTGGATCTTCAGGTCAAATTAAGCCAAATAATCAGAAATATTCGGGCTAGTTCCCTGATGTGGGCTTGACGTGTTGAAAATAGCACCAAGCTTTAGTCAGGTCGATCCAATTCGTAGCTGCCGAGCCGATAAAGATGAGTATAAGACTTCTTCAGTCCCATCAGGACTTAGGAAAGTTTTGTTCTTTCTTTCCCGGCGTTCTTTTCTCTCTTTGTCATTCACTTATTCATTCTTTATTCATTCATTCCTTTCAAAATGCGCTGTGCGCTCTTCCTTTCTCTTGTCCCACTTGCTCTGGGATGTCATAACCCACAAAGCTATGCCTGTCCATCGGCTTATACGGCATCCCGCTCTGCTGCCGCAGAGTTCTGCGCGACCTTCACTGCTAGCATAGTGACCGCTACTACCCGCCTTCCAAGCTTTGCTTCTGCCTGTGAATTCAACACCAAGCATCTATCGAGCGCCTGTAGCTGCCTCGATACTATCTGGACTACTGAAGTATCAGGAGTAAGTTTTTCTATGGTCGAACTTACAGCTACAAGCCCTAACATATACCAGTCCGGATCGGCACAGACCACAGCTATTGCAACCAGCGCAGTTACTACCACCACTGCTGCTTCAATCGGTTCGTCTACTAGCTCGACTACTCTCGTCAAGACCACCCGCCCGGCCTTCTCTACTACCTCTTTGGTTGAAGTGCCGGCCACCACTGCGGCACTGACGACTATTCAAGCCGTGACAACCGTTACTGCGGACTCGACTGGATCCGGCACTACTTGTGTTGTGTCCGAACACGCCTCTCTCTCTTCCGCTGTCAGGTCTTGCACCAACATCGTGCTGTCTGATTTTTATGCCCCTCCCTCGAGCACCATTGATCTGCAGAGTCTCCAGACTGGTGCTGTTGTGACCTTTGCGGGCACTACTGTAAGTCAAAATACTATAGATACTACTTGAACATGTCACTGATCTTTCAAAGACTTTCGGAGATACATACGACGATGATTTCGATCCTATTGTCGTCTCTGGCCACGGTATCACCATAACTGGTGCCGAGGGCCACGTTATTGACGGCAATGGTGCTGCCTACTGGGACGGAGAAGGTTCCAACGGCGGCCAGGACAAGTCAGATTGAATGTCACACACATCTCATTTCATCGCTAACAACTATATCCAGGCCCGACCACTTCTTCGTCGTCACGAAGACCTACAACTCCAAGATCAGCAACCTGAACATCATGAACTGGCCTGTTCACTGCTTCGATATCACTGGAAGCCAGAACGTCGTCTTCTCGGGTCTTGTTTTGAACAACACGGCAGGAGATAAGCCTAACTCTGCTAGCGGCAGCATGGCCGCAGCCCACAACAGCGATGGATTCGACATTTCCTCCAGTGACTACATTACCCTGGAGGATATCGAAGTGTACAACCAGGATGACTGTGTTGCGGTTACCAGTGGAACTCACATTGTTGTTGACAATGTGTACTGCTCCGGTGGCCACGGTATCAGCATCGGATCCGTCGGTGGAAAGAGCAACAACACTGTGGATGGAATTACTTTCAAGAACTCGCAGGTTGTCAACAGCCAGAACGGCTGTCGCATCAAGAGCAATGCCGATACGACTGGCAGTGTAAGTTGATGACATGACATTCTTACACTTGGTCCGCAACCAAGGCACTAACATGACTAACAGATCAGCAACATTGTCTACCAGAACATTACTGTCTCTGGCATCTCCTGCTACGGTATCGACGTCCAGCAAGACTACCTCAATGGTGGCGCTACTGGTGAGCCAACCAATGGCGTCACCATCAGCGGCATCACTTTCGACAACGTGAAGGGCACAGCGACCGACGATGCCTACAACCACTACATCCTTTGTGGCTCGGACAGCTGCTCTGACTTCACCTTCACTGATGTCTCCATTACTGGAGGAGGTGAGACCAGCAGCTGCAACTACCCTTCCAGCGGCTGCCCTTGAGATAGTTTTCATTATCTCTTGTTGAAATGAGTTGGTGGGGAATCGAGGTATTCTATTCTATTTATACTTTTTCTTTTTTACTCCAGATGAGACTTCATTGTCGCTGTCGATAGGCGCAATTTGTTAAATGATAGGTTCTATTCGGGACTGTTGCGTGAGAGCACCTTGCGTCGGGCCCACGATATCCCGTGCTGGACATCGCACACAAATATCGCCTGGCCTTCCCCTCCCTCGAAAAGAACATCGCCGTTTCGAGGGAGAGCCGGGCTCTCTCCGCGACGGTTTCTTCCCGCCCACCGCGGAACCCCCTCATGTATATACCACGTATGCTCCCGCATAGCTATTTTTCCTCCTAGAATATACGGAGTGCCACGGGCCCGCCTGCAGCCCTCACGGCGCTGTAGCCCTCCGTCAACGAGGCCTACATCGCCAGTGTTCAGACCGCAGGTGCCCCGTGCGGGCCAAAAATATCTCATCCGTCTCCATTTGTGCCAGTGTAGCAATGGTTAGAATAGAGGGCGTGTTACAATTTATGAGCAGTCACTGTACCATCTGCTCACAGAGACTTGGGTTATGTCATTGAAATATTTAGATACACGGCCGAATATATGCGAGTAAGCGAGAATAAGTCAAGTCCCAAACCTAGACCCGCCTGATGCCCCTCAACCAAACTTCTTTCGCGCCCCACTCTCTGAGGTACAGTGGTGTATCATAAGTAACGTATTGTGTAAGCGAGTGGAACATGTAAGCGAGTGGAACACCTACGCGTTAGTTTCGCGTCATGTTCATTACATCAATTTTCAACCACCCACAATGCCACCAATTCGCTCTCAAAGCTCTCAAAAACGTATAGAGCAAGAGGGTAGGATCTTATTAGCTATTCGCTCTCTTCAGTCCGATGAAAAATGCTCAATTCGTCAATTGGCTCGCGATTTCGACGTCCCGCTGAATACGCTCCGTCGCCGTATGGCAGGTGTCAAAAGTCGCGAAGAAACCCGCGCCAACAGCCATAAATTGACTTTTTGGAAGAGGAATCCCTTGAGAATTGGATCATCTCATTAGATGAGCGTGGAGCTGCCCCTCGGCCAAATACCGTACGAGAAGTGGCCAATTTGCTACTCGCGGACCGTGGGACTGACCCGACCGAGACAGTCGGGGTGAAATGGGTCTATAACTTCGTCCAACGGCATCCTAACCTCTCCACTCGATTCTCGAGGTCTTACGATTACCGGCGAGCTCAATGCGAGGACGTGAAGATGATTACAACGTGGTTTAACTACCTTCAAAGTACGATTGCGAAATACGGTATCCTTGAGGAGGATATCTACAATTTCGACGAGACTGGCTTCGCTCTCGGCCTTACAGCCACTGCAAAAGTTGTGACGAGGACTTCGTACGGTCGGCGAGCTCTTTTACAGCCTGGAAATCGCGAATGGGTGACGACAATTGAAGCAATAAGCGCGTCGGGGTATACGTTACCGCCATGCGTCATTTTTAAGGGTAAGGTCTTTATGAAGGCCTGGTTCGGCGATACAGACCTACCGGCGACTTGGCTTTTCGTAGTTACTGAAAAAGGATGGACTACGCATTCTATAAGCCTTGAATGGCTTCAAAAGGTCTTTATCCCATCGACTGTAAGCCGTACGAAAGGAGTATATCGTCTCCTCGTCCTTGACGGACATGGCAGCCATCTTACGCCTCAATTTGACGAAATCTGCGCTCAAAATAATATCATCACGATCTGTATGCCGGCGCATTCATCGCACCTTTTACAGCCTCTCGATATCGGCTGTTTTGGGGTATTGAAACGGGCTTATAGTGAAGTGGTTGAGTCCCAGACAAGGCTTGGCATACACCGCGTCGATAAGAATGACTTCTTAGAGGCATACAAGAAGGCCCGAATCAAGGCATTTACAGAGAGCAATATTGTGAATAGCTTCGCCGGCGCTGGTATCAAGCCATTCGACCCGCAGCACGTTATTTCGAAGCTTAATGTCCGCCTTATCACCCCCCCCCACGACCTACTAGCCATAGTAGCGATTCAAGCCGCAATTTTACTCCAAAGACGCCGCGAACAGTGAAAGAAGTGAAGAGACAGGCCTCATCTATTCGGAAGCTCGCTGCCGATGATCCTAGACGTCTAGGTGATGCGATAGACCAAATGGAGAAAGGCTGTCAGCTTGCTATCCACAGCTTCACTATCGCGAGGCAGCAAATCAATGAATTGCTTGCCGCCAATGCGAAAGTGACGCGTAGAAAGCGGCGTACGAAAGCTCAAATAGCGCATGAAGGTAGTCTACTAGTTCAAGAAGCAATGACGCGTATTAGTGGACCGGGGCAGGTGGAAGAAGCTATACATGAGCAAGCCGGCGGAGCATCGCCGACACCTAATCAGACCAATGAGAGACGCCCACAGCGATGCAGTCTCTGTAAAACGCCTGGACATAAGAGAAATAGGTGCCTAGAGAGGTCTGAATAGCCTCAGTTTTAATGAATTCGTATTGTGGTTGAAAAAATTGAATAATAATAGTAGATATAGCGGGCGGGTGTTCCACTCGCTTACATGTTCCACTCGCTTACACAATACGTTATTTGACTTTGGTACTTCGGGCCTTGACCGCCTTTCATACCGCCTACTTGATTAGTTCATGAACATCCATCCTATGTACCAACACGTTCTAATACAACTCTGGCATTCTTGCGTTTAAACATGCCTTTGATACACGGGAGAAGGGGCAGTGGCTGATGTTATTAATTATGAAGGATACTCTACTAGCTATTAGACTGAAACTGAAGTTTCTGAGGTTTCTGCACGGCAGTATAAAAAGGTGGGTCTTAGGTCAAAGTACCGAAAGTTCAAATACTTATGATACACCACTGTAAGCTTTAGTAGCCAGCAAGCCATTGCTTCTAGAGTCACCCGCGTGTATCAGCCATTTCGAAAGTTACCCCATTCACTGTTCAACAGATGTAGCACCTCACGCAGATACTCAGGTTGAAACATGTGCACGGATTTAGTTGGTGCACTCTTTCTGTTCAAGCACGATGGTGTTGCCAAGGTTACCAGTAAGACTAGATACCTTAATGTATCCTTCGGCGTCTTTTGTTGCATTGCCACGCTTCAGAAGAAGCTCATTGTCGATTTGAAGGGTGAAGTTGCCGCCACACTTGGACACAAGTGTTGTATTCATGGTATTCGTAAAGACAGTGTCCAGATTCACAGGGCCAGTGAATGGCCACTTCATTTCAGTTGTACCCGGGCTGCCGGCAAAACTATACGTGTTCTTCTCGTACGCTGTCATGCCCTCCTGAAGATAGACATGGCCATGGAAGTCGCCGCTGAAGATATCATTGTCAATTAACTACTTCATACCACGAGGGAATCTTGTGCTTGCCAAGTGAGTGAGCATACCGAAGGACGTTGATTTGTCTTGAGGCAGTTGTGCGGAGACCAACTGCGATGTGGCAACGCGCATGATCGCCGCCCTTGTCCTTTTCTATGGCAGCCAACATGTGTCAGCAATGCGGAAAAATGAATAATGACAGTCAATTTACCAAGCTCAGCTTTTAGCCCTTGGACCGTAACACTGAAGGAATTAGTGGCCGGCTCAAACACTCCAGTCAAACTTCCTTGAGGACAGCCTGAACCTTTGTACGCGACACTGGTGACCTCAAGCCCGGCAACCAGAGGCTGCATCAGGCTAGCAGCAACGAAGACGCTAGGGCCAAGCCCTGCACAAAGAAGGGAAAACTTAGAAAACAGCATCTTTGCCAGTGAAAGAGTCGAAAGCTTGGAATGTTTCGCATATGAGAATGTTGGTAGTTTGACCACCAATGGCCGATGGGCGGCCTCGGAGTATTTATGGCAGAGATATGCTCGCCGAGATGTCAGAGTGAAAATTAAACAAAATGAAAAGGGGAACTACTCGGACACACCGAGACCATTAACCAAGCTTACTGTTTCAAAGCGCATTTGACCCTCCAAATATTCACTTTAGGACCCAGTACCGAGAGTTTCTATTGATACCCGGCGCGATGGCGAATAATTGGGACCTGGGGGCCTTTTTGGCCGTTCCGACCCGCTTCTCCGTGGGGCCGGTACATCGGATTCTCCGCTAGCAGGTTATTTCCGGCAAAAGCTTACCTCCTTGCTTGCTACTATAACCTTGCCAGGCACTTCAGAGTTCATTTTGTTGAGGTACTCTCATGGTAGGTTGCTCACCTGCGCTTATACTGTCATTCTCGAAATCGCCTTGACCAGTACACTCTTTGACTATCTTTCTTGGCCCCACTGCCAAGCCTTAGTGCGGATCATCTATTGGGCCCACCCCATTAAGTTGCGGTCCGGTGTGATCTCCCCGAGCTTGTACACCGACGTTCAAAACGTGGGGCCTCAATTTGATGCGTCCAGCAGCTGACGGTTCTTCCAGGGAAACATCTATGGAATCAGATAAACGGCAAGCCACTGACACTCCCGCCTCCTCTGTCGATTTTGATATGACAAACATTGATCCTCGATTGATGAGACCCGGCCCTATCACCGTCGTGAAGCCATCAGCCTGCCCCGTCAAAAACTGACATTTCCGCCTCCTCTTCTGGATGCCCAGTGATGACCACTGACCCAAATTCGGCGGAGAATTCTGCACAGCGAGTGACAAGGGGAACAGCAAAGGCGGCAAATATAGAACCTGGTCATAAGCTGGAATCTTCATCACAGCATGCGACGCGCTCGTCTCGAACATTTCGGCGCCCAGAAGAGCAGCCTGGTGGCAGCAGAAGAGTAAAGGACAGCCAGGCAAATCGAAAGCGTCTAGTGCTAGATATACGCCACGTCGGTCAAAGCGATTACGAGCCCAGTGATTTGTGGCCTTGGGGGTGATTCTTCTTGTTCGTATATTTGGATGCAGTTCAAGAGGTTGATTATAGACCTTATCTCGGAAGCATTTCTGGCTTAGCAATGATACTATTTCCAGACTATCGTTTACTTTACGAACAGTAACTTGCATTCTGACGGCGTTCAAAGATACATATTACGGAATGATAGTAAGGCGATTGGGTCGAGTCAGGCTACGTAGTAACAATGGCCTTAGGCCCTTCTATGAAGTTCTCCCTTACCCATTCATTCCTGGCTTCGGGGCAGAAAAGAACAACTTCCATCCCTCCTGGAAGGAGCACGAGCATGAGAAGTTACCCACCTTCTTTTCTCTTTCAATGATCAAACCGGTCTTGTCTCCAACATGCGCCGGAGTTAGATGGGTCGCATTTCCCTGGTCGAAGGCTTTGGCATCATGAACACTGAGAGAGCGCAAGGACGTAGCGTTAAATCGTAGAAAGCTCTCCATAAAGGCCAGCTCCATATACATTGAACACAGTGATAGCTCGCGTAAATTCAGACTTACGCAACACAGTAGTGCCAAAGCCATCTCACTTTCGACAAGCCGCAGGCATGGGGCGTATCCAACCAGCTCAGTGAGAGGAGTCGTCAAAGAGTCCCAATGGAAGCTCTGCCATGGAGAATCATTGCGAGGTTCGAGACAGGTGAGCTGAATGACCTTTAAAGTCAATTTGCGACACTTGAGGGCAGCCAATAATAGCTGAACATGGTGCTCATAAGACCTCGGTTGTGTCATAAAAAACATCTCGTGGTAATACCTCTCCCAGTCGTCGTGGCCCTTCGTGTCACGAAATACCAATACCAATTCTTTCAAGTTAAAGAGGAGATTAAAAGCAAGGTTCATCAAAGTTGAATCTCTTCCTGCTTCTATGATCTCTTGCTGCTCAGCACAGGTCCGTCGTATCGTCTTATAAACACGCGTATATGAAGGGTGATCGCCTGGAATGTATTCCAGTTCGTCCCAGTTCTCACGACCGTACACGTCATCGTAACCTTCGCATACATCGACATAATCGTCAGGAGTGAGGATCTCTATTTTGAAAACATCATAATTTCGTATCTCTAGCTCAAGATTAGTCTTTGCTTCCATAGATGATTCGTCCCGGGATCCTTACCAGGATTTAGCAACATTGGGGCGACGTATTCAAAGGAGACGATATATCGATGCAAGTTTGATTCCAGAATACTTTCCAACAAGTCGAATCCCTTATTCGAAAATTCAATGCTGATTTTGCAAAATAGGAGGGTTAAGCAGACATCCCTCATTCGCCTGCTGGTGAGTGAAAGCGGTTTGATTTCTCGATTGTCAAGACACTTCACAATGCCGAAGAGGGTTTCGGTAGGCAGCAGCTCCATACTATTGAATCCAATGAGTCTCAGTCGTACCAGATTATTTCAAGAGGGTAAGGAGGTGATGCTTGAGATGCAAACGAAGTGGGCTCCGTGGCCTTTATAAGGTAAGTACATCGTGGTCGATGATTGGCTTCCAAGGAGATGACTAATCATGCTGTTCTCAATCGGACGCGTCGGTGTGGGCATTAACGAAACCAAAAGTGTATCGCAGGACTTGTATCACCTGAAATACTTACTATACTGTAAACGCCTACCCTTGAGAACCTCTTTCATGAGACATAAATTTAATGTTGACACAACTCTACCGGCGCAATATTTGGTCCTCTTGGGACGTCTCTGATACTACGCTGTCCAATTTTGGAAATCCTACCCTGGGGTGTTTTGAGGCCCCTAAAGATATAGAAACAGTGTCTTCCGGCCTGTGTGGTTTGTGAAGAGGAAAAAGACGACCAGATAGGTCGAAAGCATCCAATATCCAACCTTCTCCCTGTCGATCAATGCGGTTACGAGCTCGGTGATTTGTGGAATTGTGTTCTTGTCATTTTGTTCGTATATTCGGTTGCAATGCAGAATGTCTCAATATACCGTTCTACTTTCAAAAGTCCCCCTGACTAAACAATGAAATTCCGTTTCCCTACTTAGAACAAGCTACACTCAGCAACATAGGGATCCAATAGCGATCAAGGTTAAGCACTAGAAATGACGAAAAGGCAATTGGGACAGGTAAAGTCACGTATCACCTAATCAACCATAGTAACAATGGCTTTAGGCTCTTCTATGAGGCTCTGTGTTTCCTTTTCCTAGCATTTGGAACAGAAACAATGCCGCCGTCATTAAAGAACAAATTCCACCCTCCTTGGAGTGAGCACGAACATGAGAGTTTATCAAGCCTCTGTCCTTTTTCAATTGTCAAACCGATTATGTGACCAACATGTAGTGGGGTTAAAGGGGTAAGCCTTCCCTTGTCACTGACTTCGACATTATGAACACCGAGAGATCGCAAGGACTGAGCGTTACATTGTAGGAAGCCCTCTATGAAGGGCAGCTTCATGTAAATTGAGCACAATGTTAGCTCACGTACGTTCAGACTTATGCGACACAATAATGCCAAAGGCAAGGCACTTTCGACAAGCCGTAGGCCCGGGGCGTGTCCCACAAGCTCAGTGAGAGGAATCGTTAGCGAGTCCCTGCTTCCCGACGGAGGGTCATCGGGAGGGCCAAGACAGGTGATCTCAATAGCCTTTAAGGTTATGCTGCAACCCTTGAGAGCAGCCAAGACCAGTTTGATGTGGTGCTCATAAGACCTCTGCTGTGTCATATCATACACCTGTTGGTAATCGGTCTCCCAATCCTCGTCGTCCCGTCTTTGACAAAATACCAATATCAGTTCTTTCAAGTTAAAGAGCAGATTGAAAGCAAGGCTCATCAGGGTCAAACCCCTTCCTGTTTTTATGATCTCTTGCTGCTCGGCACATGTCCGTCGTAGTGTCTTATAGACACGCGTGTATGAAGGAAGATCGCCCGAGAGGTATTCCATTTCATCCCAGTCCTCACGACTGTTCACGTCATCATAACTCTCGCATGTTTCGACATATGTTTGAGGACTTAGGATTTGTGTTTTGAAAAACTCATAATTTCGTATCTCTAATTGACGTCAGGTCATTTCCCACGGATGATTCTCTCAGGGACACTTACCAGGCTTTAATAACATTGGGGCGACGTACTCGAAGGAGAAGATATACCGATGCAAGTTTGATTCCAGAACGCTTTCCAACAAGTCAAACCCCTCATTCGAAAATTCGATGCTGAGCTTGCGAAATAGGGTGGGTAAGCAGACGTCCCTCACTCGCCTACTGGAAAGGGAAAGCTGTTTGACTTCCCAATTGTCGAGGTACTTCACGATGCCGAAGAGGATTTCGGTAGGTAGCAATTCCATATTGTTCAACCGGTCGATTTCAGCCCGTATTAGAATCTTTCTGAAGAGTCCGGTGTGATGCTCGAGGACAGAAGAAAAGCGGGCCGTGTGGCCTTTGTATAGGCGTATAGGCGAGGCTCTCTATATCGGGTCGATGATTGGCTTCCAGGGAGATGACTAAACGTAGTATCCCCAATTGCAACAACAGAACAAAATGGATGTCGTGGGCCGTATGCCGAAAATAACATGGTGACCTGGCCAGGACCAGGCTATCTGACACTGCAAACTTGACTTCCACGAGCATGTTTCTTTGCTTAGAATAATTGGCCCCGGTATAGTATGTCTATTGAGATGCAAGAGCGCCTGTGGACTTCACATGTACCCCCGCGAATCGTAAATGGGAAAACAGAAGAAACAAAGTCCAATGCCGTAGCCACGCCCGAAAACATTTGTACTCCTAAGGAAAACCCAGCCATGCATGATCGCACTTTGACGTGCCGCCTCCATCCGGTATCATTACTTCTAGTCGCCGTTGGGCGCACTCTCTCCCTCAACGTCGGCAACATCCCGTAGAATATCCTTGAGACCGCGGACGCCTTCATCTGCCACCGCTTCAGGTATCCGGACATCAACTTCTTCAATGTACTTCAGAGGGTCGTAGGGGGGATTCTCTTTGCTGCCTTTCTTGGTGCCGTTCGTGCTGTTTGTGGCTTTTGAGCTTAGCGCGCGGTGCGGTCTGCCTTCTGCTGAAGCTAGGATTGCCTCCATCACATCGTCGAAGGTTTCGCATCGGCCGGCACGGAGGAGTTCAGTGGCGAGGGTTGTGACTTTGTCGGTCCAACCTACACGGTGGAGAGAACCAAGTAGGGTTTCTTGGAGATCTTCGAGGGCGCAACTGGCTGACAATTTGACAAGGAGATTGGACGCCAGAGCGTCCGGGGTGGAGGAGGCTCCGTTCGTGGCGGAGGGCATTGCGGAGTGTGGGGTTCGGGTTGGCGAAATGCCTAGGTGACTGTAGCACGCGAGAGTAAATGGTGTTGGTCGCGGAGGTTACAGCCTGGAAATTTCGACAATTTGGAGTTCTGAGCTGCGCAAGAAATCAAATATTGCCTGGTTGTTCGAAGAGTGAAAGTTGGCAAGACGAAGGGGGCGAAAAGGGGCCTGCCCTCTATGACAGTGGAGGGGGTCTCAGCAGGCTAATTGGCATTACATTGCATCCATTGGACAATAGACATGCACATGCACAACCGGGAACAATAAGACGATGAAGCTGAATAGGAAGACTCAACGGACAATCGGACAATCTGGATTGCGGGTCCTCAATGCGGGCGGTGAATATGTTCGGGTCCATTGTCTATAGCCGTATAGAGCTCCGAATAGACGAATGGAGTATCTCATTGGGCTATTGCTGCTATTTGGACTTTATAATTTTCATGCTTTCTCGGAATGGTGCCTATATATATAGAATATAATGAACCTATTGCAAGTTGTTGGTATCACCAGCTAGGTACTGTGTACACAGTTAAGTGGACAGTGGTTATGCTTCCAAAGCAAAAGTCAATTTGATTCATGTAAAATAGATGTGTGTTCCAGGTCGTGGTCCAATGCCCCTGAATCCATACGGCGGGAGCGGTTGCTTAGCAAGATTACGTACAACGTGTCTTTGCTTATTCCGACGGGAGGATATGTCCCGACAATTAGGAAAAGAACTTCATTTCTCTACCCGATCATATCAATTGGTAGTTGTATCAGAACCCTCACCAGCATATTAAGACAGTGGATTATCAGCTTAACTGACTTGACACATTGTGTGCCAGCAGAGGTGTCTTGCCGAGCGATCAGCAAAGAAGACTCATCATCCTACTCAAAACCTTTCTGCGGTCCTAGAGGCTCGTCCGAAGGCCCTGCACTGCTCTATTTTTGTTTGCAGCCTGTTTTAAGCCCCACTCAAGATCAACGGGATTTTAAGATAACGAGTTTCTTCTGGAGTACTTGGGTGTCAACGAAGCTAACGGTTAACAGAAGGGTAGGTGATCTAAAGTGTGATGGTTGTAACGTAATTAATTTCGTTCATTCTTCCATGCTTTCCTTTACAAGTGTAGTTGGTCTTTGCGGGTCTCATTTCTATTTGAACCTTTCTCCCGAGCTTGACACGGCGACTATCGAGTGAGTGTAAGTCTTTTGGATATTTGCGAATTATTTTTGTAGCATAAGTTTTTCTTTTATAAGGTAGTGATGCCGATGTTCAAAGGGAGTTAGATTGGGACCGCCATAGCGGAGCCTCTTCTCCCTCTACAACGATGCGTCAGCCAGTCCACAAGTATAACCGCGTAGTCCCGTTGGGGGTAACCAACTATGCAGCAGTTATGTTTCTTTACAGACGCAATTTTGTTGGTAGTTAACTGAGAATATTGAAATTAATTTGCGAATTTATTGATTTCAAGCAGCAGTTGACTCTTTAAAACGGCTGTTTCATAATAGCACTTCACTCTATCACATGTAGATGTACTCTTAGAGGCGACTTAACACTATAAACTTATCCTCTAAGAAGATCTGACTGGCACCGGATATGCAAGTCTACGACGACTTGTTGGGTGGCATTGTTACCTCTCTGGAGGTGTGAGTTCACTTGCCCTCCCTTGAGGAAAGTAGCCACAAGAAACAGGCTGTCAACTGAATACATATATTACGAAGTTAATTAACACTCTCTCAGTTTCGTACAATCCTCGGATTATATCTGTACATTTCAGTCGTATTCGGCACCTACCAATAAGCTCAGAAAGGTGTTACAGGGGCTTTCATATCTTGGATCCTTTACAAAGCTGAAACTAGTAACTACTAGAACCTGGGTTTATTCTCGCAAATGCCATGGAATGAGAAAAGAAAGAGGGAGAGACAGGTCTCCAATGATCATAGGTCTGCCCATCGCAAATACTGAACTCAGTAAAGTGTCGCATTTTTCAATCTGGGGCCAATTACACTCGTCGTGCTAAAAAGCCCCATGATGATGGTCACCAACTGGTTTGGATAATCTGTTGAGGTTTTAGGTGACCGACTCGACTATCAGCTATAGAAACCTCAGACGGCTTGGCCCACGCATATAAGACGCAGTTTGCGAGACGCGTAGTCTTTGCACTCTATACATAGTCTTCACTAGTCTTCACTACGCCGCAATTAACGCGAGATAGTTCGGGTAGTAGGAACCAGTGGTTCAAAACCGTGATATTAAAGGAATATAGCTTCTCCTCATGTTTCGCGAGTGGGTCCCGTTCTGGCCGCACTAAGTCAGGAATTGGAGATCCCTGATCATCAATTTACACTGTAGGGGAATGAGCCATAATTAGCGCTGTGGAACAGTACGTCCCTGTATCTTCCTAGATGAGTAGTTTATGTTTTTGGTACGACATATATAGGGGCACCTCATAAGTTTTAGCGACTTATTCTGCCTGTGGTAGTCCCGCCAATCAAAGGCTTCAAATCGTAAATGAAAACACTATTTACTGCACAAATAGGCTGTGTAATATTATAGGAGGGCGATAGTCGACGGGGTCTTGAAACTTAGGAGTTACACTGTATTCATACTAGTGGAGGAGATAAAATTCACTCCATTCAAGGGTTATTCCAGTCCCTAATCTCCATTACATCTAGATCATCTTGGTGGGGCTTTGGCTCGATAGGCACGGACGCGGAACGGCCCGGACACTGGAAGCCATTCCCCGACGGATTATTTCCAGGCTGTATCGCTGACAATGACATGCCTTCCGCCCTCTTCCTTTCTTCGGTGCCCTCTTCCTTTCTTCGGTGCCCTCTTCCTTTCTTCGGTGCCCTCTTCCTTCCGGCGATCTTATCCGCACGCCGTTTTCTTGCGTTCTGCGTCTTGATCGACCATCGGTGACTCGCTATTCAGCAGATTGAATTTGTGCTCTATTGAAGACCACTCAGTTCAAAGTCATGTCCCCTAGAAGTAAGCGCAATTTCACCTGCTCCTGGGAACGCTGTGGCAAGGTCCGTTTTTCTCCCCTTTCTGGTGATGAACAAAATTTGCTCCCTGCGGATTAACACGATCCCCTTCGCCAGTCTTTTTATCGCAAGTCAGATCTCTGCCGCCATTATCGGATACACACCAATGAGCGGCCCTACCATTGCAATATGAAAGATTGCAACAAAAGCTTTATTCAGCGCAGCGCTTTGACTGTACACTCCAGGATTCATACGGGTGAAAAACCATACGTCTGCGACCATGAGGGGTGCCAGAAAGCCTTCTCAGATGTGAGACTCTCGCCCTGGATCTTGGATCCAGTAAATCCACTAACCACCACAGTCCTCCAGTCTAGCCCGTCATAGAAGAGTGCACACTGGGAAGCGACTGTGCGTATGTCGAGAAGAAACCTGCGGACGAAGGTAAAGCGGTTCTGAAACCTACCATCCAGCTATGTCAACCAACTCACATCGCGGCGTTCTTTATTGTAGTTCCTGCCGCAAAGCTGCCCTCACGAAACGCCAACGCGTCTCCCGCTCTCCGGGAGCTTTGATTCAAACACCATTTGTAGACACCACGTTGGAACATTACAATCAACCTGCAGCCGTGTCAACCCCCAATACGCAAGACCAGAACTCCTTCGCACTGCAGCCCTTCTACCCACAATCAGCGTCGCCCAGGCATGAGCTTTGCTCCATACATGGCGGTGCGATGGGCTCAGTGCACGTGTACGAGGGTTCTCCTGCCAGCATAGCACAAAGTGTGCCCTCACCTTCGGCGACGAACCTACAGTACGTCTGGCAACTTGTCCCTCAGCCACACCACGAGACTCCCGCGGCCGTGCCAGTCCCCAGTACGCCAGCACTGCAGTCCTTCTACCCACAATCAGCGTCGCCCAGGCATGAGCTTCGCTCCATACATGGCGTTGCGATGGGCTCAGTGCACGTGTACGAGGGTTCTCCCATAAATATGGCGAGTTACGAGTCTGGTCTGGATATCAACATGATAGTGCCGTGTTTCTTCTGGTCTTGAAAGGTGATACCACGTGTGCTGCCTACTATGGTGGCGGAATGAAGAAAGCGTCAGGAAGTGGGTCCGAGAACCAGAGCATGATGCAGGAGTGTCGGCAAAAGTGGGACAATAACTTCCAGCTTCCTCTCACTGGTTTATCACAGGCCCTATATTTTCCTTTCGCATGTTACTTCTGGGAGTGTGCAGCAGTTGAACCAGTTTACTCCGAGTATCGCACCATTACTCCGCTCTCTACCGGTAATTGTGCTGGAAGTCGAAGCTTCATGGGCTATTTAACATACCCTTTGAGAAAGCTTTCTTCAATCCATCAACTATTTAAAATATTTGGTTTCCTCCTGGTCAATCTAGCCTTATCAATGCATATTAGTTAGTACTGTTTTAGCTTATCCTATCGAACTGAAGGGGTGGTATTTTACCACTAAGGATAGGGTTATGCATAAAGTACCCATTCTCTCTTTGTCTCTTTATGGTAAACGGGGTACGCTCGGCTACCAGCGTTGTAACACGCTAGGAACGACTCCTGAGATCTGATAACGCTTCAACAGCAAGATCCAGATACAACAATCAATGCATCTCAATGGGACGTCTCGATACTAGCACATACCAGTATCTGTCAATCCGAAAATATACCTCCGTCCAGAAATTATGTACCTGTGCTGAAATTTCTACAAAGCCAAAAAAGTGCGGTGTAAATAGTGGGTAAGCATGAGGTAATTCGTGTACATTGAATTGGTGTTTTAGTTGATGCGGAACAAAGGATTTGAATTTTAGCCCGGAGGAGAAATCAGAATGATCTGTTAGGGTCCAGCACAGCCAGCACCGCTTCCGTGCCGGCCTAAAAGAACACGGTCGTCATCCTGGAGGTGGGACTATGTGCATCGTGTCTGTGCTGCTAGGAAGCTGAGATACCGGCGAACAGAGCGTGCACTTTAGCAGCATTCATCGGCTGGATCGCTACATA